CCTCGTCCTGCTCCTCGTCCTGCTCCTCGTCCTGCTCCTCCGCTTCGCCGTGTCAATTGATCGGCAGGCTGTGGCGGCGCGGCGCAGGCCTTGCGGCGCCTTGCTGGCCCCCCCCCCCGCCCCCACAGGCAGGCGGGCGGGCGCGAGCGGCTAACCCGCGGTGGTTGCCGCCATCCACGGCCCCCTGCGGGGGCCACTCTTGTTCCGCTGCTTGGTGCAGATCGACGGTGCTGCGGTGGCCGCCGGGAGGCGCTGGCTTGCGTACTCCAGCACTGAGCGCCTGCGGCGCTGGACCAGGGGCAGAGGAGGAGGAGGAGGAGGAGGAGGAGGAGGAGGACCTCCCCAGTGGTAGTGGTGGTGGAAGATCGGCCCATGATGGCCGCCGCTCGGTCCAGCACAGCGCCAGGTCCGAGCCACGCGGGGGATCGGCCAGTGTCGAGTCGGGTACTCGTGGGAGACACCGTGGCCTAGACCTCGATCTCTAGCGGGCTCAGGGAACTGGGGCCGCCTCTGGAACAGCATCCCCTGACACGCACGCAGCCGCCTCGACCAGCCCGTGCGGCCCTCGAAAGGCAGATCGCGGTGTGGGGAAGGGGACTCCGCCACACCGAGCACCAGCCCGGGAATGGAGGAGGACGGGAAGGGGGAAAGATCGGGCTGCATCGGATCGGGCTGCATCGGGTCGGAGTCGGAACCAAATCGATTCGGCCGCACCCCAGTGACGCACGCAACACCATATCGGATCGAGCTGGGTGAACTCGACATCGACTCGAATAGATCTGATCTGAACCGGTCCCCGGGGATGGCGGGGAGGCCCGAACTCGAGGAGGGGCGACCCCCCAGGCCCCCGAAGCTTTGTTTTGTCACTCGGGACCCCTTCCCCGGGGACTAAGTCTTCCTCTCGAGCTGTTTTTGTTGACGGCCCTGGGGCTCGGCGAGGGCCCCGCATGGACCTTCCAAGGTCTGGACCCCTTCCGAAGGGACCAGCTCTTCATCCTGGGACGCCTGTGCCGACCGTCCGAGAGGCAGAACGTCACCAGGACCCTCCCGTCGTGAGTTGTGTCAACACGCTAGGAGGGCTGGGCTCATCTCGGGCGCAGCGTACTGGGGGACGATAAATGAGGGGTGGGGGTGGGTGGGAAACATACACCTTTTCGTCTCCCTTTGGGGCCCCAGGGAGCCCCTCTAGGGCCCAATGTAGGGCACAAGAGGTGCACCTTTCTTCCCCCCCCCCATTCATCGCCCCCCCAACTACGCAACGCCCAACCCTGGCCCTGTCATCATCCCCGCCTGGGAGCGAGCGCTGAGGCGGGAGCGGGAGACCGCGCGATCTGCGTCAGGTCCTGTCGAGACGGCGGGGGAGAACGAGGGGGGCGAGGAGGGTGCAGATGCGGGAGAGGGGGACCAGTGACCATCATGACCACCATCAGCAACAACATAATCGGCCACAACCTCAACCGCCATCATCGTCACTTTCGACGTCACCCTCATCAGTCATCAGCATCATCAGCAGCAGCACCATCATCACCACCACCCTCCTCCTCCTCCTCCTCATCATCACCATCACCATCATCATCATCATCCTCCTCCCCCTCCTCATCATCATCATCATCATCATCATCATCATCATCACCATCATCACCATCATCATCATCAGCATCAGCATCTGCATCAGCATCATCATCATCATCATCACCACCACCACCAGCAGCATCATCCTCATCGTCAAGAACATCTGCGAATGTCTGCCTGGAGCCGACGGAAGCTCTGGCACTAGTTTCGGTAGCCGAGCAACGGTGAGCGACACCCCTGCCACTACATACATATTCCCCTCCCCCAGCCCACCCCCCTCCACCGCACCGAAAGGCTGACATGTCGCCCACGGCGGAAGCTGGCGGAAGGGCCGCGAAGGGCCAGCAGAAGTACAGTCGAAACGCGGTCACAAAAAACGTAAGTCAAGAACATGAGCCCCTTAGCCAAGAGCCGAAATGCATAAACCCGAAGGAAACACATCCGGAGGGGAAGAGCCCAGACGCGCACGAAGAGCACGTCGGTACCATTCCAAAGCTTGGGTTGCTCTTCACCCTCGTGCCAGCTGTAAAGCACGAGGGGGGGCTCCGCCAGCGAAAGCCTGCATGAAGCGAGCGGAAGCTAAAGGTTCTCTCCGCAAGAGGGTCCGACACGGGCGTACGTACCCCGCGTGTCCAAGGAGTTGGACATCTGACGCTCACTCGAGCCTGCCCGAGCGGCCGCCTCGCTGCCAGGGGCTCCGTCGTAGCGATCCGAGCCTCAGGTGTCCTGTCCCCTGGACGCTCAGTGCTCCAGGTTCTGCGAAGGGCGCCCCCACCACCCCTGGACAAGGCTCGTTCGGAGGCACCAGCTCCACTGCCGGACCCCATTTTTGGAGCCCCCGCTTCGGGATGGGTGCCTCCGCCCGCCTCTGCCCGAGGCGCTGCCCCCAACGTCCTACTGAGGGCGAAGAAGAAAAAGGAGGAAGAAGAAAAGGGAGGAAGGGAGGGGGAGAGGGATGGCGCAGGGGGGGGCAGGAAGGGACGAGTCCAGGGAGCCTCCTCGGAGGCTGCGAAGTCTCGACGGGAAGCCCTCGGAGCAAGGCTGCCACGGCAGGCAGACTTCTGGGTCAGATGCCGCGGCAGGAGCCGATTGACGGCATCGAGGGCCAGAGCCTCGGCCGTCCGGGCGCGCGCTGTGTCCATCATGAGATATCGCAGACGAAATCGCAGCGTGCCTGTTCCACCTGGGACTGGGATGCGATGCCCGCTCCGGCAGACTCGCAGGATGCTCAGGTGGAGGAGCTGGGAAGGAGGGGTCCAGGCGCAAATTTCCAAAGACAGGAAGAGGTAGAGGGCCCTTCGTCGTGCGAGCTGGGATCTCGGCGGGGCTCTGGGGGGGCCACGCCGACAGAGGAGGGCTCCTCTCCCGTCGGAGGGACGTGATCACCCGCGCCAGCGCCCTTCGGCCTTCGGAGCCCTGCAACCCCGCAGGGGCAGCTCCGCGGAGTTAAACCGGGGCAGGCGGGGCGGCCACTGGATCCACAGGCGAGGCGGGGCTCTGTCGGTATCCACCGCCCCGCCCGGAGAAACGGGGCGGAGGATGTGGACATATTTGGACGCCCTGGGGCCCGAAGCGAGAGATCCGATGCTTGTTTTTCCATGCGGAGTCCCTGGAAGTCCAGACCCCTTCCCCGGGCCGGCCTTTCATCCTGAGCTATTTTTGTTGCGGCCCTGGGGCCCGGAGAGGGCCCTCAGGTCGCGAAAACGGCGAGAAACCTTCTTGTGAATACTGGAAAGATGTCCGTGTCCACCGCCTGCCGAGATTCCCGAGGATCGACCCCACAGGCGGTGGCGACGGGGGGGCAGGACCTGGGGGGGCGGGCTCGAGGGGGGGAGAGAAATAAATGCATGAACATGAACTCTCGGCACTCCCGCGGATGTCGTCGATCGGCCCATGGGATCCTCCTCCCTGGCGCGCGGAGCGCGCCAGGGGCGGCGCCGGAGGGGCTGCCAGGTGGGCCAAGCGCCGATCCAAGGAATCCCAGCGGAACTCCTGAAGGTTATGCTTGTGCCGCATTGGGTGCGTCGGTGTGGGGAGGCACGAGCTGGGTGGACGAGCTCAGGGGGTAGAGGAACAACAAATTGCACAAACATAAACTGTCGGAGCTCCGCGCGGATTGCATTGATCGGCCCATGGGACCCCACTCCCTGGCGCGCGGTGCGCGCCAGGGACGGCGCCGAGGGCGCCACCGGGGGGGCCCAGCGCCGATCCAAGAAATCCGCGCGGAGCTCCGAAAACGTATGTGTGTGTGTGTGTGTGCAGAACGTTTCTCTTCGACCTGAGCCGATCCGCCACCCGTAACGTTGCTCCTGAGCCCAGCATCGGAAACCGAGCCCGGGCCAGGGCCTCTGAAGACGAAGCCAGGAACGGAACAACATCGGGTCAAGACACCTCGGGGATCTCTGAGATCTGGCGGCTGTGCAGGATTTGTCACGCGTCGCGGCCGTTCCAGAGCGCGCCTCCACGCTCTCAGACCGACGTATCCCGAGCCCTGGACCCGACTGACAGAGCCCGGGCCCAGGCCTGGACCCAAACCGTCGCTCCAGCAGGAGCTCTCTCGATCCTCCTCTGAAGCACTCGGACGCGCGTGTGAGGGGCGGCCAGCACTCTGGCCCTCAACTTGTCGCAGCCCTCGGAACGTTTTGCTTCCCGACGACGCGATGCTCTCTTTCTCTCGCTCTCTCTCTCTCTCTCAGCGCCGGCTTGGGGGGCTGTCAACATCGTTCTGGGACGCGGCTACAGGATTGCTGGCGTCGAAGAGCCCAAGGGGATCCATGAGCACGGGAACGAGATAGAGGGAGAAAGAGAAGAGAGGAGAGAGGAGGCGAGGCGAGCAAGGAGGAGTCGACGAGTCCATTTTCCAAAAGGTGGATCAACGCTCGGATGCGAGTGGGACAGGCCTAAGATTGAAAACAACGCGTGTGTGCGCGTGCACCCTTACATGCACGTCTGTCTTTTTTTCTGCATCCGTCAACCGCTTGATGGTTGCCCGCCATAAGCACTCGGTCGATGGTCATCTAGCAAACGCATCCCGCTGATGCCCTCGCGAAGGTGGACCAACCGGCCACGAATCAAAAGAAGGTGTGCGTACCCTCGCTGACGCCAAGGCCAGAGGCATACTCACACAGATGCGCAGCAGCGGAGAGGGTGGAGAGCCGGGAGGCAGAGCGAGCACGCGAGAGCAAAGCGGGGCGCGTCGGAACGGACGCGGGGTCGCGGCATGTGGCCGCTGCTGGCGGCCACTGGTAGGCCAAGAGCGTACGAGCTCGAGCCTTTGTGCCAGCGGTCGGCTGCGGCCCTGGCCCTGTGCTGCTCACGAGCCCGTCGCCCCGTGTGCCGCCAGCTGCGGTGACGGGCCTCCACGCTCGAGCCCGACCGCCGGCTCGGCCAAGCAGCAGCGGCGGCAGCGAGTGGCACGGGGCCGTCGCTCAGGACCGCCTCCATCCCACTGCCCACCACTGGCGAGAGCCTGACATCCCGCATTGTCGGCTCACCCGTCTTCGTCGCCACCGTCCTCGAGCTCGGTTTCCTCGCCGTCCCCAGACCCCTTCGAGCCATGAAAAATCACGACGGGAGGTTTTCGCTACTTCAGTCTCTGGGGGCCTTTGCCCGGCCTTGGGACCGTCAGAGCTCGACCCAGGACAACAACCGGTCTCGGGGCATGGGTCGAGACCCTTGGGGATCGGCGTCATGAGAAAACATGATGTCGGGGGGTCTGGGTCCTCGTCTTGGCCATCGTCCTGCTCCCACACGCCGCCGACGATGTGCGCGCAGCCAGCGCCCCTGAGGCTTGGACACATGCTTTCCTCCCAGTCCTGGTCGGTCGGGGAGGAGACCCACGCCGAGAGGAAGCGCGAGAGGCGAGTCGCGTACGCCCTGGCGGGGAGCAGATCCCAGGGGAGGGGCCGCTGGGCGAAGTCGTAGTACGCCATGACGGCCAGCCTCTTCAGGACCATGGGCACTCTGAAGTTAGGCAGCAAGAAGTTAAGGTACCTGTGGAGGTCGCTGCTGCGGCCGGCCAGCCCATGGGCGCGGAAGGCCTTCTCTATCTCGTGGTCGTCCATCTCGGACCTGAAAGGCTCCGGGATGGCCTCGAGCCGGAACGAACTGCCCAGCCGTTCGATGTCTTCAGGACTGGGCTGCATGTTGGCCAGCCCGCATACGGAACGCCGGATGTTTCTGCCGAAATTTCTCACGCCATGGCACCCCAGTCTGTGGCCTTTCGACCAATCGCCCGCGAAATCGTACTCGGCGAGCTTGACGAAGCGAGCCCCCCGAGTTTGCAAGCGCTTGGTGTTTAGCTTGCTGCACGTAGCTTGACCAGCTTCGCCGCATCCTGTCCAGCACAGCGAGCCAACCGTATCGCTCTCCAAATTCTTGCACTTGGGCACCGAGTGCATAACAGGATTATCGAGTAACTCCTTCCACACCTGCGGGAGCCTGATAGAGGCTCCATGATCCAGCTCTGCCGTCTGGTCTCCTCCTGCGAAAAGCCAATCAATGTCTTCGTTCGCCCATGCAAATTCTGCTTTGCTCCCGGCGGCGAGGAAGTCAACGATCTTGAATCCTACCAGCCCTCTGGGCGTAGGTGGTCTAGCGGGCTTTCTCTTCCAACCATTATTCCTCTTGGTGGGGTTTACCCCTCCCCCTTCCCCCTCCCCTGGACCTGGAGGAGGAGTTTCGCGAGGCGTTGGAGCGTCCAAGATGACCCAAGATGGCTCTAGGAGGGCCTCAGAGAGCCCACGATGCCCTCCAAGATGGCTCAAGATAGCCGAAGATGGTTCAATATGGCTCCCAAGATGCACCACGAGGCCCCAAGACCACTCCAAAGTGTGCCTTCTCGCCTTTTCGCTTCCGATGGCCTTCCGAGGCCTCAAGACAGCTCCAAGAGGGCCCATGAGTGCCCCAAGAGAGGCCCAAGAGAGCCCCAAGACGGGCCCAAGAGCGCCCAAGAGCGCTCCAAGAACGCCAAGAGGGGCCCAAGAGGCGATGTTTGGGGCTCCCGAGAGGGGGTCGTTATAAGAGCCCCCATCTGTTTCCCCAACCATCCTGTGGTGTTGGGCCCTCGTTTTGAAGAGACAGCGCCCCGCGTCTCACTCCTCCTCCTCCTCCTCCTCCTCTTCTTCTTCCTCTTCTTCTTCGTCTTCTTCTTATTATTATTCGTCTGCTTATAAAGGCTTGTTCTTCTTATTATTGCTATTCGTCTTCTTCTGCTTATTATTATTCCTCCTCCTCCTCCTCCTCCTCCTTCTCCTACTCCTCCTCCTTCTCCTCCTCCTCCTCCTCCTCCTCCTCCTCCTCCTCCTCCTCCTCCCTCCTCCCATTCCTCCCATTCCTACCCCTCCTCCTCCTTCTCCTCCTCCTCCCTCCTCCCATTCCTCCCCCTCCTCCCTCCTCCATCATCATCGTCATCATCGTCATCATCATCACCATCATCACCATCACCACCACCATCATCAGCAGCATCATCATCAGCACCATCACAATCACAATCACAATCATCATCATCATCATCATCATCATCATCATCATCAGCAGCAGCAGCAGCATCATCATCATCCTCATCATCAGCATCAGTATCAGGACCAGCATCACCATCATCAGCATCATATTCATCAGCAGCATGATCATGATCATCAGCAGCAAGATTATCATCAGCATCACCATCATTATCATCTGTACCATTCTCATTATCACTTTCATGATCATCGCGTTCGTTATCGTCATCGTCACCCCCGCTTCGGCACACACCTTACACGTTGCGTGGCCCCAGAGGAAGCCCCACCTAAGGCCCCAGTGGCACCGTTCGCATGTGGGCGTCACCCCCGTTTCGGCACACCCCTCACTCGCTTCGTGGCCCCATAGGTAGCTCCACCTAAGGCCCCAGTGAGATCGTTCGCATGTGGGTGTCGCCCCCGTTTCGGCACACCCCTTACACGCTTCGTGGCCCCATATGGAGCTCCACCTACGGCCCCAGTGGCACCGTTCGCATGTGGGCGTCACCCTCGTTTCGGCACACCCCTCACACGCGTCGTGGTCTCATAAGAAGCTCCAGCCAAGGCCCACATGGCACCGTTCGCATGTGGGCGTCACTCCCGTTTTGGCACACCCCTCACACGCTTCGTGGGCCCATAGGGAGCTCCACAGAAGGCCCCCGTGGCACCCTTCACACCCCTCACACGCTTCGTGGCCCCACAGGGAGCTCCACCTGCGGCCCAAGTGGCACCGTTCGCATGTGGGCGTAACTCCCGTTTCGGCACACCCCTTACACGCTTCGAGACCCCTAGGAAGCTCCACCTAAGTACGGCCCCAGTGGCACCGTTCGCATGTGGGCGTCACCTCCGTTTCGGCACACCCCTCACACGCTCCGTGGGCCCATAGGGAGCTCCACCTGAGGCCCCTGTGGCGCAGCCCGCATGTGGGCGACACTCCCTTGTTCCGGCGCACTCCTCACACGTTTCGTGGCCACACAAAGAGCTCCACCTACGGTCCCAGTGGCGTAACCCGCTTTAGGGCGACACGCCCGTTTCGGCACAACCCTCATACGTTTCGTGGCTCCACAGGGAGCTCCACCGAAGGCCCCAGTGGCACAGCCCGCATGCGGGCGTTGCCCCATGGGGAGTTTCACATCGGATTGTACTTACAATTGCGGTACTCACAACTGCATATGGTTAGGCTCTTCGCTAGGATAATTGATCGATCTCCTCCAAGATGGCCCCAAGAGCACTCCCAAGGCTCCCAAGAGCACCTCAAGAGGGCCCCAAGGTGCGCCCAGGAGGCCCCAAGCGGCGCCCAAGAGGCGTCCAAGAGGCTCCCAAGAGACCCCCAAGAGGTCCCAAGAGGCTCCTCGAGGCACCCAAGAAGCTCCAAGAGGCCCCAAGACCGCTCCAAGACGGCTCCAAGTGGCCACGGAGCCTTCCATGGAGGCCCCCAAGATGCCAACACCCTTCAAACACCTAAAGAACATCAACGAAGTTTACCGTCTCGCCCATTTGCTTTCGATGGCCTTCCAAGGCCTCAAGATGGCTCCAAGACGACCTGAGGGCTCCAAGAGAGGCCCAAGAGAGCCCCAAGACGGCCCGAAGAGCGCCCAAGAGTGTTTCAAGAGCGCTCCAAGAGGGACCCTTCCTCTGTGTGCTGCCCACGTCCTTGATCGAGGCAACTCCCCTGGGCATCGTCTCTGGATGGACTGGTGGGGTTGCGCGAAGCGTCAATCATTTGAAAATCGCCAGCTCCGCGGCCTCTCTGGCGCTCGCATTCTTGGCGCGGATGCCCCATTTGTGTCTCTCGAAAATGCTATGGCCCTGCGAGTGCGAGTGGTCGTGAAGCTGCTTGACGTCATCATGCACGTTGCATGTACCCTCAGGCGCAGTAGGGTCGTGCTTGATGAGCAGCCGCATGGAGTAGCCCGTAACGTCATGGGCTGTAAGAAACCGTAAGTCTCTTCGCAGCTGCTCTAGGAGTGCATCTCGCATGCACGGCTCAACGACAAGAGGCTTGCGCGACAAGTTGCCGTCGCGTAAGGCAGGGTATCCGAAAAAGTCCCGCACAGAGTCGAACGCCACCACCTCCTGCTTGATGAACTCCCTCCAGCGATCCAGCGTCGCTGGCTCGAGGTGTCCAGACGGCTTCGCGTACAGCGGACAGGCGCTTCCCTCGACACCCCTCCAAGCCTCCTTCAGCCTCTCGAGAGAGCTGTCGTCCTCCCTCCAGACGCTGGTGTTCTCCCGTGCCTTTTTCAGGCCCTTGATCGACAGCGCGAGCTCCGTGCAGAAGTTGAAGCTGCCCCTATCCTCGAGCCACTGCTTCCCCGCCGTACCGCCTAGGCAGCTCCGGCTCACAGGCGTGTTCTCCACGGAGTCCTTGAACATCCTGTGCAGGAAGGGCTCGAGCTGCTGCGACGTGGTCTTCACCAGCTCCTCCTTGCGATCGATCCAGGCCCGGCCCACCTGCGGAGGCAAAACATAGGAGCCTCCCATACCATCTTGCTGGCTTTTGCGAATCGACGCTTGCAGGCGCCAGTTGACGCTACATCGACGCTACATCGACGCTACATCGGCGCTGAAACGGCGCTGTCTCATCGATCACCAGACATTACCGCACGCTAGTGCGCTCTAGAGACGGCATCGCGAGGACGTGCAAGGCTCCCATGCTTTGCCATCGAACGGCCCACCCGCGTCCGCAGCGCATAGAAGTCCAGGTCCTCCCCCTCCACGTGGCGGGCAGGGCTCTCGGCCCCGTCCTTCCCGTCGGCGCGGCGCCAGAAGCCGAGCGGGAACACGGGGGAGCACCGCGATCGGCGGCCGCGCTCGCCGCTGCTCCCCCTGAGGTCGAACTCGAGGAAGGAGTCCTCTCCGGCGCTGAAGCCGCGCCTGAAGCTCTCCGTGACGAGGAGGGTGCGCCGGACGCGCGGGTGATAACCGAAGGGCCGACAAAGACAGCATCAGCGCAGCGCTTCGGAGCTCCGCGCGGATCTCTTGGATCGGCGCTGGACCCCTCTCCCAAGGCGCGCGGGGTGCGCAGGGGCGGCGCCAGAGGCGCCGCCATGGTGTAGCCCAGCGCCGACCCGAGCAGCCCGGGCGGAGCTCTGAAAGCTGATGCTCGTGCCGTTGGTGCTGCCCTTCGGGATCGGGGTCCTGGCTCTTCCACTCGAAGCTCACCGCGAGCACCAGCTGCGGCAGGAGCGTGGAGGGGTTGTCGTCCATGTGCTTCATGTAGCTGTGGATGAAGTCGGGGCCACCCTCGAGGAGCTGCATTGCCTTCGAGGAGGCTTCCTGGAGGGGCAACGTCAGGGGGAGGGCTGGCTCAGGGGGGCAAACATCGACCTGGAATCGGCGATACATCGCCGATGGATCGGCGATCTGCCCCCGCATGGCGAATCCGAACGTTCTTGAGCGGGGTGGGCCTATCGGGCCCCTGTCGGCGATCAATCGGCGATTTGGGGGGTCCATGTACACCCCCTGAGCCTATCCCCCTAACTCCTGCATGTTGAACCGGCCGTCCGCGCTCACGAAATGCTCGCCGCCGACGGGGGCATGAACGGGCCTGCAAACCAAACCCAGATCTTCGACGTATGGAAACAACCATGAACAATCAAGACAGCGTTTTTTCGTAGTTTTCGGCCTCCCCAGGACAGTCAGAACACTGCTCGGGATGAAAGGGCGGCCCTGGGGAATGGGTCGGGACTTCCTCGGACCACGTATTGAAAAGACAATATTTCGGATCTCTGGGAAAGGGCCTGAAATCCCGGATGCTGCGGCCGAAGCCCACGGCGATATCCAGCTTGCGGCGCACGCTGGCGAAGCAGCCGGGCCACAGCAGCCTCATGGTCACGCCGCTTGTCGCGTGGTGGACCTGCTGGCCAGTCGGGAACATGTGCTCCGTCTGCTTGCCCAGGGGGTCGCAGCCCACCTCGTGGGGGGACAGCGAGGTACTGATGCCGCTGCTCCCCAGACCTCGCCTGGGGTGTGCTTTGACAAGAGTTTCGAGGAGAATCCGGCAGTGGCGACGAGGGCCTCCCAGGAGGCCCAAAAAGGCCGAAACGAGGGAAGGATAGCGGTGTCGGCACCCTCCCTGAGATCCGACGTGGCGAAAAAATGGCAACGTCGCAACAAATCACGGCTTCAGCCCCAGGCCTCCACCTTGTGAGCGTTTTCATATTCGGCGTTTCGACATTGTGCGGACGGGGGGGGGGTCTGGCTCCAGACCTCTGCTTGATGCGACTGTTTGCAACAGTGTGCCCTACGGGGGAGGGACTCCACCTGCTCGAACAAGGCGCCGAAAACAGCAAAGATCTACTGCACGGGGGGGGGGGGGGAGGAGGGGCGGTGCGAGGGCCCGCGCCGATCGGCGAAACAATGACGAAGAAAACGCTCACCTTTCTGCCGCAGCTGTCTCAGGCTGGATCGGCTGGGGAGGGCCCACCGGGGCACAGCTGCGGGCAGAGGACGCCCCACTCTCGCGGGCCCCCCGCGAGCGCGCGGGTCGGTCGGCCGGCCCAGGGGCACGGGGGAGCGAGGTGTGCACCTGCGGGCGAGAACATCCGGTGGTGACAAATGGCGATGCCGAAGTCTCAAGGGGGTCCCTCATGTGCGACCCTCGTCAGAATGAGCCTCGTCCCATGGCGGGCGTGCCCCTTCGAGGTCGGCGCGCCCTTTGATGTCGAGACGACGCCCCTCCAGTGCCAGGGCCAAGGCAAAGGTGGTGTGAACAGGAGCGAGTCGAAGTTCGATGATGACCGACTTTGGAGGGGCGGCGCATACAAGTACCTCGCACTCATTGCTACACAAGCAAATATCTTCCCGCACACAATCCAGCTGCGCAAGATATTTTTGAGGTCAAGTTCGACGAGGGTTGTATGACACCTGCCGGGTCAAGATGCCCGCGAAGGGGCGGACGCGTATGGCACAGGCGGGTACAAACCAGCAGGCTCTCGTGTCATACACATAAGCCATCCGCCGTCTGGCACGTGGGCAAGAGATCAAGCTAAAACAATCGGTAAGCAGAAGTGGGCGAAGCTCTGCGCCGGCTGATCAAACTTGACCCTTGAACCCTAGAGACCTGCCGGTCATAGTGCGTCTCCCACAGCCTGGGGAAGAACTCCGTCATCGCCTCCAGCCAGGAGCGGTCAGCATCGAATTGGGAACTCCGATCTAATCACATCATGCATCGAATAGGGCCGCATCGGCGAGGAGTCGGACTCGAATCGAATCGGCCGCGCCAGGATGCACGATAGCGCGTCGGATCTTGGGAGTATCGGAACCGATTTGGATCCGGCCGAGCGAAGACGATTCCGAAAACAAGTAATCAAATAAACATAAGCTTTCGGAAGTCCGCGCGGGTCTTTCGTACCGGCGCTGGAGGCGCCGCAGGGGGCTCTGGCGCCGATCCGAGAAATCGCGCGGAGCTCCGAAGTTGCATGTTTATGCAATTTTCGCGGTGCCGTCCCAGCCTCGCCCACACGCGAAGGGGGTCGCCTCTACCGCGCGGTGACACTAACAAAAACATGTATGCAGTTTTTGTTTCCCAAACGATATCGAATCGGATGGGATTGAACACGGGCCCCAGACCTCTCGACCACTTCCTCAGGACCAGCTTTCGTCACGAGCCGTTATTTGTTTGACGGCCGCGAGGCCGGGCAAGGGCACCCAGAGGCTCAAACTAGCAGAACACCTTCCGTCGCATTTCTTCCCCACCATCCTGTGGTGTGGGATCCTCGGTTTGAGAGACAGCGCCCCGCGTCTCCTCTCCTTCTTCCTCCCCCTCGTTCCCATCCTACATCCTGGATCATCCCCATCATCCTCGACCTCCTCCTCCTCCGCCTCCTCCTCATCATCATCCTTACCATCCATCATCCTTACCATCACCCTCACCATCACCGACGTTATCATCATCACCACTGCTACCATCATCATCAGCATCATCTCCGTCATCATCATCACCATCATCATCACCAGCAGCATCATCATCACAATCAGCATCATCGTTATCCTCCTCCTCCTCCTCCTCATCATCATCATCACCACAACCATCATTATCATCAGCATCAACATCATCATCATCAACATCATCGTCGTCATCATCAGTATCATCAACGCTATCATCATCATTATCATCTCCATCATCATCAGCAGCATCAACCTCATCATCGTCACCTGCATCACAATCGGCAAAATTAATCATCATCATCATCAGTAGCAGCAGCATCATCATTATCATCCTCATCCTCATCAGCATCATCATCAGCATCATCATCCTCATCCCTCATCCTCCTCCTCCTCCTCCTTATCCTCATCCTCATCCTCATCCTCATCCTCATCCTCATCATCATCATCACCATCATCGCCGCACCCATTAGCTCCACATAAGGCCCCAGTGGCTGCGGCCGTATGCGTCCCCACTACCCATTTCGCCAGCACCCCTCACACGTTTCGTGGCCCCATAGGGAGCGCCACCTAGGGCCCAAGTGGCTGCGGCCGTATGCGTCCCGGCCACACGCATCATATGTTTCGTGGCCCCATAGACCGAAGGCATTTCGGCACACCCTCCCACGCTTCGTGGCCCATGGGGAGCTCCACCGAAAGCCCCACTGGCTGCGGTCGCATGCGTTCCCGCCAGCCATTCTGGCACGCCCCCCACACGCTTCGTGACCCCATCGGGAACTCGACCGAAGGCCTCAGTGGCTCTGGCCGCATGCGTCCCCGCCACCTATTGCGGCACACCCCGCACACGTTTCGTAGCCCCATAAAGAGCTCCACCGAAGGCCCCAGTAGCTGCGTTCGCATGCGCCCGCCGCACCCATATCGGCATACCTCTCACACGTTTCGTAGCCACACAGAGACTCCAACGAAGGCCCCAATGGCTGCGTTCGCATGCGCCCGCCGCACCCATCTCGGCACACCCCTCACACGTTTCGTGGTCCCATAGGGAGCCCCACCGAAGACCCCAGTGGTTGCGTTCGCATGCGTTCACCGCGCCCATTCCGGTATATGGTACGTTCCTCACACGTTTCGCGGCCCTATAGGGAGGTCCACCGAAGACGATACTCACAACTGCTTAACTCACAACTGCATATGGTTGGGTCCCTCGCCAAGCTAATTTCATGACTCGAGGGGTCTCAGGAGAGCGCAGAATCCAATCATTAAGTCGGATCAGCGATCGACATGAATCGGATCAGCGGAAATCGGCAGCCAAGTCGGGAGAAGTTGAATCGGCGGAAATCGGCAGGCTAGCAAGGCCTCCATGGAGAAACCGAAGCCCGACTCCGAATCTGAAGCCGAGTCGCATCGGAACCGATCGAGATTGAATCAAACCGAGTCGGAGGAGTCGAAATGAGCCCCAGGGCCCCCAGGGTCTGGTATCGAAGACGATCTCGGATCGGATCGATCGAGTCAGAACGGGCCCTGCCTCCAGCAGCGGCGCCGCTGAGGCACCGCGCCCGCCCTGCGCCAGGCGGGACGCGCCGCTGGCGCGCTCTGGCCCCGGGGGCTCGCCACCCGCGCCGTGCAGCGGCTGCCCCAGCAGCACGGCGCTGGCATCGTACCTGTAAGGCGAAGCCAGGACGAAGATAAACCCGGGTGAGGATAAATCGATCCTCTCGAAATCTGGCGTCTCTGGAGAATAGCTCGGGCGCCGCGGCCTTGTCAGAGCGTTCCGGACCGCTGTGAGCGGATTGATCCTTTTCCTAGCCCCGTCCGAACTTGGCCGCATCCATTTTGTAGCGTGGCCAACTTCAGGGATCTACTGGCCTGGGTCAATGCGAGCCTGGGCCAACCAGGCATTGCACAATCCTGCAAGATCCTGCAGCATCCTGTGCACTGGCACAGGTCACTGCAGCACTGGCTTCGCAGCATCCTGCAAGATCAGGCGCTCTGGCTGACCCCCGCTTGCATGGACCCCCCGATCCCAAGGCTCTCGGCAGCTTGCGGCAGTCGCACATCCGGGTTGGCGGGCAGGTCGCGCGACCCCTCTCGGGAGCCCAGCGGGCGGCGTCCTCGGGGAGCCCCGCGGGGCTGACGTGATCGCGTGCTGGCCCCATGATCCGACGCGGCTGTGAGACCCAGTGCTGGCCATGACCGCCGCTCCAGTGCAGAGCCCTGGTTACGCGAGCGAAACGGATGGCGGCATCTCGGACCACGATCCCCCGCGATGTTGAAGCGTTTTCGTCGTTTTTCGAGGCGGACTTCCGTAGTCGTTTTCGGCCTCTCGGGTTCCTTGCCAAGCCTCGGGACCGTCAAGGAACGACTCGGATGGAAGAAATGGTCCCAGAGAAATGGTTGAGAGGTCGGAGGCCCGTGTCTCGGAAAAAATCGTGGCGCTGGATGTTTGGGTCAGGCGATGTAATTACGGGCGTTTTCGCTTGCATGTAATTTCACAACGGGCGTTTTCGCTTGCTTTCGGGCCCGAGGACCATCACAGATGGATGCGGCTCGAAAAACTGCCGCAGGAAGCTTGGGTCGAGAGCCCCGGTCGTGAGTTGTTGCGATGTTGCAGTTTTTGGGGAACGTCCGATCGCAGGGTCAGGAACAAAATGCCTCGCCCAGCTCACGAACTGCAGGTGTGGCAACGAGGGCAGCGGAGCGGACCCCGACGCAGCCTGCCTTCTGGAGGACAACGGGCGGGCCGGAAATCCCGGCGCTGCTCTTCGATTTCGGCTTCTGGGGCGCGCCACCGGGCCCCGGGACCAGTCCAGAACGAGCCCGCTGCCCCGGGGAAGGGGCCGAGGCCTCTGCAGCCGCGCGGAGACGTCTGCCCAGGCCTCCGACGCGCTGCAGAGATCCAGACGGCGCCTCTGGGGGCTCTCGCCAGGCCCAGAGCTCGCCAGACCTCCAGCGCACTGGAGAGGGTCTTGTTACGCGGGCCTGTAACATCCGTTCCGGGGTGTGCCCCCCTCCCCTTCCCTCCCCCACTTTCCACGTAATGGTGCCGAACGTACGCGGGGGGAGGGGAGGGCCCGGTTCCCATGGGTTCCACCACAGGCATTCCCAGACCCCCGACGTCATGATTGTTTCGCGACGTCAATTGCCAAAGGTCTCGACCCGTTCCCCAGGATCGTTCTTTCAGCCGGAATGATTTTTTGAGGGTCCCGAAGCTCGGCAAGGGCCCCCGGAAGCCAATTGCCCCGAAGGTAGGATCCCGCATGATGATCATCCTGAATGATTTTGCGTCGTCCCCGTGATAGTGGAGGCCATCCTTCTGTCTCCCCCTCGCACTTTCCAGACTGCTTTGGCCGAGGCCTTCCTCCAACCCCTTGATCGGCCTCCTCCTCTTCATCCTCCTCCTCTTCCTCCTCCTCCTTTTCCTTCTCCTCCTCCTTCTCCTCCCACGTAGTTCTTTCCCTCCTCCTCCTCCTCCTCCTCCTGTTCCTCCTCCTCCTCTTTCCCTTCGCCTCCTCCTCCTCCTCCTCCTCCTCCTCCTCTTCCTCCTCCTCCTCCTCATCATCCCTCCCCTTCTCCTCCTCCTTCTCCTCCTCCTCCTCCGCCTCCTCCTCCTCCCCCTCATCCTCCTGCTGCACCTCCTCCCCCGCTCACCTTGCACGGGAGTTCATGCCGATTTTCCTTGGCGCCGTCGGGCCGTCGCCGCCGCGGCCGGCTGGGGCGCGTCCTCCGACAGCCAGATCCCAATTGGGGCAACCCCGCGGACCAGGTCACTGAGACCATTCCCGCGGGCCGCTGGGGCGCTAGATCAAGCCGCCAGGACAACCCCAACACATACACACACAAAATTTCAATGATAGTTAAAGGATTTGGATGAGCCGCTCGGATTGCTAACGTGATCTGGCGGCCCCACAGGGAGGGTGGTCGCGCCTAAGACTTCCTCACAACTCCCTCCACAGGCGACGCTCCCGTTCGGATTACCAGCATGAAATGCGGGCCCAAGGAGGGGAACCCCCGCTTGAGACATCCTCGCCATTCGCTCACAGACGAGGCCCTTGCTCGAGACATTCTCACGATTTGCCCCTGTGGGGCGCTGAAGTACTATGCTTGGTTGAATATTCCAATGCCTCGCTCGGATAACCATCGTGAAGTGTGGGGCCACATGGGGAAGGGCCCCCCCCGCTCGAGACATCCTCACGATTTGCCCCCCCCCCCCCCCCCTCCCCCCCCCTG